AGGGCGGCCATCGTCAGGTCTGCTCCGGCCAGAGTGGGGATGAGTTGGAATACTGTTGGGCTCCTTTCCTGAGGAATGAACTGGTGTGACGCTTCCTTGGGAGAAGGGGAGGCAGTCTGGATATCCCTCGCATCGGTCTCGTGGAGTTGAGATGTTCCCACTTAGTTGCCGCCGTTGGTGGCGGGGACGCGGGCAGCATCGTGAACAGCATTTTTGCGGTGTGGACTAGTCATGATCATGAAGTGATTAAGATGTGAAGCTTTGGTTCTCTGCTCGGAGGAACGGGAAAGCTTAGTTTCCCACAGACGATGCCATTGATCGTACCTGACCAGAAGGGGATTGATGATCTGCCACACGTCGTCAATCTGGATGCTGCTCACCAAGGTGTTGAAGAGGAAGGGGTGTACCTGAAACACACTCTGATGCCAAAGTAAGTGACAGGCATAGTGGAAACAAGTACAGAGAGAGAGAGTAAGAAGATTAAGTTATCTGACCCTCTGGTGAATAGGGTATTTATAGTGAGCTCCCAGCGTAGGTCTAACGGTTACCTAGCACTGGGTTGGACGGCCAGGCCCAATGTTAGTAACTTCTAGGGCTGATGTGGCATCGTGAAGACCGGGACGTGACCTTCGCCCTAGGATAACTACTCAGTACTATCCGAGAGGAGGAAGACCGAATCTCCAGGATATAGGTAGTTACCTTATGACGTGTCTCTGCGTGAGGGACACATGGAGAATGTGGTAGGAGACCTTGAGGAGTCTCCCGAGCAGACAGGGTTATCTGGTTGGGTGCGATGGTCTTTCTCGACAATGGGGCGAAGGAGGCTGGCTGGCCGGACACGAGGGTCCTGTCCGACAGCAGTTGGTCTGTTCCCAACGGGGAGGAAAGTCGTGATCGACGGATCCTCTGCTCGTCAGTGTGGCTCAAATGGGCCCAACCCCAGTGGGCTTTGGGCCTGCTAGGCAGTGGGCTAAGTGTCGGTCCAGTCCAGAACAGATTTGTTTAAGATTTAGAATTATTTTTTTCGTGGATAGATGGCAGTCCAAATGTTCCATGATATATGAGACATTTGTCTATGTCTGTTACTTTGTATCAATCAAGGATCTCGATTTTCCTAATAAAGATTTGATTATTATGTGATTTTTGGTGAATGTGATATGAATCAAATACAACAATAAAAATCAATAGATTCATATTTAATCAATGATATCAATTAAGATTTGAAATCATCATTATTAAATATTGATCTTATGTGCTTTTTAGAAATCCAATAAAGATTCAAATTTATGTGCTTTTAGAGTTGGACTTTTGTGGCTATATAAGAAGACATCTCCTTTATGAAGACTTGAAGCTTTATAGAAAATATTTACTCTTTAGGAGTTTTTAGTTGAGTTTGTTTTTGTTATAATACTTTGTTCCTAAATACTAATTTTATAAGCTTGTGAACAAAGTATTTATGTGTTTTGATTGTTTTATCTTTTCAATCATATTGTAAACCTCTAAAGAAGCCTAACATGAATATTCAAGGCACAGAGGTTGATTGTTAGTTGAGTTATAATTCAACATCTTTAAATATGTTGAAAGCATTGATCACTAGAGTTATTGGTTGAGAGAAAGTGAAAGGGATTCTCATATTTAGGGGGACCTCTAAATAGAAAGTCACAAGTAGTATTAGAAAGAGACATTAAACAAGGTTGGTTAATCTAAGAATAATTGTACTAATACTATTGAGAGTGGATTTCCTTTCTTGGGTTTGAATTCCCCTAGATGTAAGTGATGTTGCACCGAATTGGGTTACCAATTCCTTTGTCTTTGTTAGTGTTGTATGATTTATCATTTTTTTTTGTATTATATGTGATATCTGGTATAAGATGTTGAGTGCATTAGCTTAGGCATCTGGTCCAATATGTGTCCCCTTAAGAACAAAATTTCACTAGTTGAAAAGGAGTTTCCTCACCAATGAGACTATTATCAATGCGTTTAATGCTAATATAGCATGCATCCAAGGTGTAAGGCTTATTTGTATGAGGGTGTCTCTTCTAATTGGCATCCATGTTATGTTTTGGGTTATTTACATGGCATAAGTGTTATCTTGTTGAACTCGAAGAACTTTAGATCAATAAAAAGATGTGGGATGTCAAGGAACTCGTTTTAAGAATATTGTTGATAACTTATGTGAAAAATGTCATGTTTTGGTAGGCTTGGCCATATAGGTTGCTGCTAAGACCCAAAAGTTAAGGGATTTTATGAAGCAAAATGAAGATTTCCAAGAAAATGTGAAGGTGTTGGAGGAAACGGTGAAGACAACCAATGAGACTCTAAAAGAAGAGGAAATAAGCCTTATTGTCTTTTAAAGCTAAAAAAAGATCAACTGGGAGTCAGTGGAAGAGGTCTTAAAACTTCGGGGAAATCCTCTAAGGTTAGAAACTTATCAAGGCTAAAGCCCATAAGATCTAGTTTCCAACATCAATGAGTTAGAGGAAATTTTGATAAGTCTAGAATTCATATTTCTCATAATTTTTTGTTTGTGTGTGAGTGTGTACGTGTGCGCGCGCGTGTATATACACACACACATGTGTGTGTGTGTGTGGTGTATGTGTGTGTCTGTGTATGTGTGTGTCTGTGTGTAGTTTCATATAGTCTTAGGATTATAAAGACGACCTAGATGACATACCTATTATAATTCTGAGTTTTAAACTTTTTCATGAGTAACTAAAACAATACTCTAAACTTTAAGGATTTTCCGAATATTTTTATGAAAATATAGACAATATCATATATTAATAATGCCCTGAAAGATGAAGGCTGATATCAGATACATAAAGGTTGACGATTAATAATACGTGAAAATATTGTTTGCTTAATCGAGAAAGCTCTGCTTCTTTAATACAAATAGCTTTTCTTAACGGGTCTTATTGAAGTTCCTTTCTCTCTCCTAGGGTTTTCATTTTGATGTTTGTCTTGTTTATTATCATTTACTTTACAAGTTTAGACATTAAGTCTCCTCTCATTTAGATCATTGAACATCTCTTAGAATTGAGTGTTTTACACTAAATCATATTTTGCATGCATAACTCAAAACCTTATGTTTCAAGTCTTTGTAAAATATTTCAAGTCATGAATGTATAATTTTAATAATACTAACTTTTTATTCAATCATACACTTCACTTTTCTTTATAAAAAAATTAACTTTTAGAAGTGTGATTTGAATCATGGCAGAATTGTGACATTCATAATCTGTTTCTACCAAAATGATTTGAATCAAAGTTTTTCTTGATTCGAATCAATAGTGATTTTGATTCGAAACATACAAATGGTTGCTTCTATTCAAATTTGAAATCAATTTTTTGGATTTTGGTTCTATCAAAGTGATTCGAATCATGGAATTCCTTAACTCGAATCATTGACTCTAAATAGTGACTCGAATCAAATGTGCAGAACCTGAGTTTTCTCTAATCATCATCTTTGCTTTTGACTTGAATCGTGAGAGTTTTTCTACTTATCTTTAGTGCTTAAGATCCAAAACATATAAAAAATCAAATTCTTTCCCTCTAGCCATTATGAACACAATTTTGAAATGTTTTCAAAAACCTTGAAACCAACTTTCAAAGAATAATTTCTTATTGCATATGAATTTATCTTCATCCTCTAGAAAGAACACCATGTTTGAGTTACTTCTCAAATCTAAAGGAGTGTGAGATCTATTGTAAAGGAGGTTTATTCGTTGTTAATGTTTGTGAAGTTATTTAATTACAGATCAAGGATCAGGTTGTGTGGTGTAGCTAGAATTGACAATCAAACAAGAGCGAAAAGAAAGAATTTCTTCTCCATTGAAGACTTCAGTAGAGCTCAGTGAAGGTTGCTATAGACGGAGTTGGGAATATTTGTCCTTTGGATATACCAAGAGCTCGGACAAGGCACTGTAGGGTCAAATGAACGTCGATGGGGAACTGAGGCTTGGAGCGGGTTTGGATCTGAGTAGGTGAACATTCAAGACTGAATGGAGATCTTGCAGAATTTATCTTTGTGAGTTGTATACATTCAAGACTGAGGACGACATGCTAGACTAGTATAAACATTGGTGCACTCTGCTTTATCCATCCCGTTATTTTCTGCATAGTTTGCATGATTAGGCTTCTATCGCTCTCAAAAAGTTATAATCTGCTAAGTTTTATCTACTTGCAACATTTTATGTATAAGTGTAGGTATGAAATAGATTAATTCACATGATTCGTTTTTTAATACTTATATCGTTTGTAACTTGTAATATTATATTGGTTTTGTTTTTTAATTATATATGCTTGTAACTTGTAATACTATATTGGTTTATTGATTAATAAAAAATATATATTTTGTAAGTTACTGCGCTCCTTTTTAAGTGTCATTTCTATTATAATTTTTTTTTAATTGTCGCTTGCAAAGTTTGAGGTATTAATTGTACTTTTGTCAAAATTATCTCTATATATTTATTAGAAAGAGAGAAAAAGTATAATAAATATAATAAATAATTAGAGATATTATAAATAAAAAAGAATTATGATTTGAAAAGTAACCATATTCAAGTGAAAACATTTAATAAGCCTCTCTCTCTATCTATCTATCTATCTATCTATCTATCTATCTATCTATCTATATATATATATATATATATATATATATATATATATATATATATATATATATATATATATATATATATATATATATATATATATATATATATATATATATATATATATATATATATATATATATATATATGGGTTCATTTTGATCTGAGTTGAAATAAGTTGTTTGTGATCTATAACTGATTATGCAAGTTCAAGTTAGACTTTATGTCATAATAATGAATTTGAGTTGAATTTCGAAATAATATATTTTTATTAATCATAGAGGGGTATCTTGTAAAAAATATTATTAATATTGTATTGAAATGGTAAAACAATCTGTCAATCTATAATTTGAGACGGTGCAGTGTAAAACTAATGCCATGGCATATTCAATGACTAAACAAGGAAACTGAATTCATGAACTCTTCATTCGATTCTAGGGCCATCATAGTACCTGGTGAAAGACACACTTCAAGATCTATGCTTCCTCCTCCTTCTCGTCCTGGATATGATGTTATTTTTCCATCAGATTTGTTAGCATAACCACTTCTAACTGCCAATGCTTTTCCCATTCCAAATTCATTTCCATACATATTAAATCTCGGTGAACTACCCATCATCACAGTACTAGAATCCACTATCATGTCCATTCGAAACACAATAGGAGACTCTAACCACTTTTCCACCGATCCTCGGACCACTTTGTCATCATAATTTGCAACAGCCAAATGAATCTTCCACGCTACCCAACCTAGATCCTTCTCTAGCAGTTCCTTTACCGTCGTTTCAGTTTTCACTGCAAAAACTGAATTTCCAAAATATTCCTTAGGAAGAGGCGGTTCCATTCTCGTTCGGTTGTTTATAGCCAAGTTGCAAGTTGTTTTCTCATCATGTTGTAGTTGACGCACCCGGGTTATAGATCTCCAAACTAGTGCTGATAAAGATTGGAACGAAGAGATTTTGTTTGTGTTAGATTCTTGGTTCGCCTTTGCTTTAAGTTTTGCTATAGATTCTGCTGAAAAATGGAAGATTCTTTCTCTCAAAGTCGGTGCTTTATATCTTTGAATAAACTCATCGTGATGTTTGAAAGGAAGGTTGATAATTGGACCATAACCTTCTGGAAACCACTTATTGTGGATGGGTTGGTGTGAAATTGGAACATCAACACTGCCATCATTTTGAAATATTTCAGAAAATGTGTTGAAGAAATTCCAGTAAGCAGTTCCATCACCAAGAGAGTGGTTCATGGAACAAGCTATGAAAACACCATCCAATAATTCAGTGACTTGGATGGACAACAAAGACATGGTGTGACCATCATGGTTGACTGCTCTGTCGTGGTCAAAGAAGGATTGAACAATGGGTGGAACGTCGATGGGGGATAGGATATCATCTATGGTGATATCTAAAGTTGCATGGATAAATTTAGCTCCAGGGCTGTTTTTGCAATCGACAAAGATGGTGTAAGAAGGAGGATCTTGCGTTTTCTTGGTAACAAGACGACCTGAGAGGGGATAGAAATGGAAAAGTGTGAGTGAAAGAGAGTGTTTAAGTTTTATCAACAGAATCTCCATAAAATCTGGTTGATTTAGTGATGATGTTGGTTTTTTGAAGAGAAGTCCCTTTTGAATATAGTTTGCAGATAACATGCAAATATCCCAAGGTGATAAGTAGCATATTTGGTTCGAGTCTTCGATGGGGGGATGCGGTTTGATGAAGCATTCAGAAATGTGTTTTAGAGGAGTGTTCATCTTTCTGATAGTCGATAAAACTCGTCTGTACATTGATTAGAGGGAGAGATCGTTTCTTTTGAAGATAATTTTGTTTGACTCATTGTTTTGAAGAAAATTCTGATTCGATGTCTGCATGTGATCAATCGTTCAGGCACCTGCATTCCACCCGCCAAAATTGAACTATGATAGGGTAGGGTCAAAAAGGAGGACATGGATTATTTGCATTCACACATGACTACATGCAAATAGACAAAAGAGGGGTTGGAAAAAGATAAAGTTGAAGGTAATGACAATACTAACCACTCAAATACACTAATTCCAAGTTACTGAAATTTATGAATATTCAAATCTGTGACCTGTGTGGTGAAATTGAAAGGGTCGATTATTACGAGGGGATGCTGTTTTTAGTTTTAGTGGTATCTTTTATTTTTGAAAATCTTTAAATTGTATTTCATGCATTAGAAGATATATCTTTCGACGAATTCAAAATCACACTATTCTATTTTTCTTTTGTGTTTCACCTCATTTTGCCAACAAAAAAATATATGGTTTGAAGATGAATATTTGTATAGTATTTGGATGTATTTTGAGATGTATCTCCGAAATATTTCATGCATTCAATTATTGTGTCTTTATTCACTGAGCTGGTTAAATTAACGACTAATATTTTCAGAGATGCATATATGGAAATGTTCTACAGAAAATTGAATAAAACACCACCTTGCATGATCTTTTTCTCCATACTCAAACAACACTCCATTTTCAAAATCCTTAAAAAGTTCTCTCATTCTTAATCAACTTTTCAACACCAAAACAACATTCTTTAATTTTAACACATCAAAGGAAGCAAAAGAAGTTGGAATTGCAGGTAAAGTTCATTCATTTCATCCTACATTCCTTGCATAAATCCTGTTAATGAGATGACAAATGGACGTTGAATCCGGATATGCATATTCGAAAAAGGTTTGGTAGGTTCCGACTGTGCATTTCCGGATTGAACTGTTAGTTTGATTGTTAGCAATGTTTTTCTGTTATTCGTGGTATTAGATATGGTGCAACTGGATATGTTTTACAAAGCTATTATGAGTGTGGATGTTAAACCAATCGAAGTGAAACATGATATTAAATCAGATGAAGTGAATGATAATGCTAAACCGGATGAAGTGGATGACGATCTTAAACCAGGTGCTCTACCGATTGTTGTCGAGGTAGATGTCCATGCACAATTTATAAATAAAGAAGTGTTTATTGTTCGTGAACATATGTTACAATGGGTTCGTAGGGAGATCAGAAAATTAGGGTTTATTATTGTCATTGGAAGGTCCGACAATGGTTTGAATAGAAGACAAGCATTTGTAACAATAATATGTGAAAGAAGTGGCACGTACCAACCAAAGATTAGAAAGTTGAAATGATATGACACTGGATCAAGGAAATGTGAGTGTCCATTTAGATTGCGCGGATACCGTATGACAAATGAGACATGGAAATTTAATGTGATTTCTGTTATACATAATCAATTCTTTACTAACAAACCTTTCGGTCATCCTATTGTACGTCGCTTTGTTCCGGAGCAGAAGGAACTTGTTTCAGACATGACATTAAACATGGTGGCTCCGAAAAACATATTTGAATCTTTGAAATGGAAAAAACCTCTAAATGTTTCAAATATCAAGAAAATATACAACGTGTGTGTTCGAAACAACAGGGCAGTAAGAGGACCAAGATCTGAGATGCAACAACTCTTAAAGCTTTTGGAAGATGACGACTATGTTTCAAGGTACAAAGTTTGTGAGGATAAAGTCATCGTTCGAGATATATTTTGGAGTCATCCCAATTCTGTCCAGTTGCTCAACATTTTCCCCTCTGCACTCATAGTTGACTCAACATACAAAACAAACAAATATAGATTTCCGCTCGTAGAAATTGTTAGTATTAATTCTACATAGATGACTTATTCAGTCGGTTTTGCACTTTTGGAATCCAAAAGAGGGGACAACTTTACATGGGTTTTAGAAATGTGCAAGATTATGTTGAAGGACCAAGAAAATCTTTCACAAGTCATAATCATCGGTCGCAATATCGCACTAATGAATTCGGTTGCAATGCGGTTTTCTACATCGTCCACATTAATTTGTAAGTATCATATAACCAAAAATGTGAGAAGTCAAGTAAGCCAAATGCTCTGAAACCAACATAATGAGATATAGACATCTTTTGGTCAAAACATTATTATGTTAGAACATTAATTCAAAGACAACATCCTTTATTCACAGTTGGTTGGCAACGTATCTCGAGCGGTATTGAATTTTATTTTTCAAGAAACCAAGAGAGCTAATAAAATAGGTTTCGATATCTGAAAGTGTGAATATATGCTTAGGAAGACATACATTCTTCCATGTGCTTGTTTAATTTCAAAGAAGATGAAACTTGAGAAACCAATATGTATGGGTGAAGTTTACAGTCATTGGAAAAGGTTTTGTTTTGATTTTGATGGTGTGATGAAGGATGATAAATAGAATATATCTATCATGATCGAGTGGAAAGTGATCCAAGAGAAATTCATGAAATTTAATGACATAATGAAATTGCACATCAAAGAGCGACTGAGGGAGATTTCCTATCCAGAAACAACAGATTTAAAACCACCATCAAAACTGGTTAAAACAAATAGTGCCCCTAAAAAAGATCAAAATGGCACAAAGTGACAACTCTAAGAGACGGTATTCTTCATACTTTGAACATGTTGACTCACATTTTCCAGATTCTCCAACTCCAAAGTCTAAACAACAAAAAAATGTTTTCAAGGGTGCTCGTATTAGCAAACCATCTCCTTCACCATTGTTACAAAAAATCATCCACATTGAATAGATGTTTCTTTTTATGCACAAATACATTTAGCGAATTTTAAATGTTTAAGGTGACGACAACTGTTGTTTTTGAGTTGTTTCAGGTTTGCTCGGTAAGGGAGAGGATAATTACCAATTTGTATGACGTCATATTATACAAGAGATTAAGACGCATAAGGAATCATACACAAACCTATATGTGAACCAAGTAAATTACGGTGAAATTCTCAATGCTTTAGTTCCTTGTCTTACAGTTTCGAGTCTGTTTGAAAAATAGATGCACTTCCTAGAAATGGGACACCTTATAGCAAGTTATTATGATAAGGTGTGTATTGCTTCAACATGATATGGTTTCTCATAAACATTCTTTCCACCTAGGAGTAAGCCACCTCAAAATTCATCTGAATGCATTATGTGTATTGGTTAGCTATCAAAAAACAATATTTTGTTCAAGTATATTTGAAATCGGGATGTCATATACCAAAGACATCACTGAAGTGGAATTCACATTTCACACAAGATGTTGAAACTTGGTCGGATCTCTTTTTAGAAAGGATGGATGAGTTCACCAATAAGGAAAGAACAAAGAATGAACCACCAATAGATTTAGGCAGCGACATATATTTTGATTGATTTTAATTGTAATAAAAAAAATGTAACATATTTTTTATGTAATTGTTTGCCGTTATTTTTGGCAAATCAAATCACAAGTTTTCGTTCACTTACAGGATTAATCTCAAAAAAATTTTAGGACATATTGTGCAAAATATTTGAGGAAAGAATGATTGTGTTTTGAATGTTGATGTTTGAATATAAACTCTAACTAAAATATTGCAGAATTGCTTTAAACATAAAAAATAAACAAAGAACATAAAAGAATTCTTCAAATAAATGCTCTTAGGTATTGGGTATCTAACTTCTTCCTAATGTAATAGTCTAAGCCTCCAGCATCCATTTCAACTAACTCATGCTCAAGCACTTGAGTAAAACATCTCGACTTCATTAGCCTAAACCTATTGAGATAATCATCTATCGACTTAGAGAACTTCCTCTTCATGCTGGCTAAATCTTTCAAACTAATCTTTGATTCTTCCATGTATAACTACTCAAAGAATACCCTTTCTAGTTGATTTCGATTACATATGGAGTTTGGAGGGAGGGTGGTGAATCAGGAGAAAGCATTTTTGGTCAGAGAATTAGGAAAATGTTTCATCTTCAAATTCTATTGTGCAAGTCACCAGCCCCTATCTGGTATCGAACGATGTGTTCAATAGTAGACACATTAGTGTCGCTTGCAAACCTAGTGAATTTGGGGATCGCCCACCCCCTAGGGAGTTCAATTTGCAATACATACTCAGACAAGCCAAAAAAAAAGTTTGGTCTATGTAGACCAACATTAATCCCATGTTGGGCTAGAATTTGTTAAACCACATTGGTTATGTTATTTTGCCCCCAAAATTATTTTGTTGGACATTCCAAAAAGACATGGTATGCATCTTGATTTCTATTGACCAATACCAACTCTGGGTCATTTCGGCCTACGCCTGCTTCAACTACCCCTTGTACAGGTCGTTCAACTTGTTAGGGCGCAACCTGTTGTTGTCCTTGGTAATTAGGGAGACCTGGGTTTTGAATTCCTTCACTCGTTTGGACTTGAGAAATTGGATGGATATGGGCACCAAAGAATATGTGATTCGAATCATTTGGTGCACCAATTGTTGGCAGGTATGGTTTGAGTTTTGGGTCAAAGGATTAAACACGTTACCAATTTGTTGCGTAAAAATATTCACCATCTTATGGTTGCTTTCATCCATTTGTTGCCTAACAGACATGAGGGAATTAGTGGTCAGGTATGGCATTTCTTGACAGATATAACCTAACCCTCCTTGTGTTATGCCATTCAAATGGAATAGTTAATAGTAGATCTTGATGCTAAGTATGGATTGAAAGGAGATGAGACAATTATTGCAATATTTGCATATGTAGATGCACTATTTTGTAGGTTTTCTATCATTGCATTTGGCATGTCATATGGGTATTCCCTACTGCTAGGGGGTAGTGTCAAACTTGGGATAAAAGAAGGTCTAGGATCTCCCATAATCGCTTGTGTGGCCCTGGGGGTGGTTGGAATACTTGTTACTTGTGGTGGGCTACCACCACTTTTGGTAATGTCGTCGATGTTGACTTTTGACTTACAAAAGGAGCGGTTACTTTGACGATTGTCGAATTACCTGCACAACCAACCGTCGATTCGGTTAGTTGATCTTCATTATCTGGAGCATTATTCTGGGGAAGGGGAGTATGTTTTGGACGTGGCATTTCAACTAAATTTATAGCACTTATTAGATGCATAAACACCAAGAAATTAAAAGTACTTTTTGTACGAAGAACAAAACATAACAAAAAAAATAGCATAATTTTTCTGCAAAATTTTAAATTTCTTGCACAAAAGGATCTCATTAGGCGTGTCAATTTGTTTGTTATTATTTTTGGCAAATCAAATCACAAGTTTTCGTTCATTTACAAGATTAAACTCGAAAAAATCATAGGACATATTGTGCAAACGATTTGAGAAAAGAATTTTTGTGCTTTGAATATATGTTTGAATGTCGAAAGTTTGAATATAAACTCTAACTAAAATAATGCAGAATTACTTTAAAGAAACAAATAAACAAAAAAAAACATAAAAGATCCTTTAAGTAAATGCTTCGAATTTAAATATTAAGAGAAAAGGTCGCAGATTCATACATCTTCTCACAAACTGTTTTCTCTGTATAACTTGGATAGTTAAGTTCTATAGAGAATGCTTAACGAATTTTTGCAATCTTGTTTAAATGACTGAACTAGTCTTATATACTATTACAACGTCAACTGTTGACAACGGTTATCTTTACAGAATTTGACACGTACTCCTTTATGTGAGCTTCAACCTTCTAGTCTACTTCCACGTGACTTCGGCGTTGAACTATTTTGAACTGCTCTTTTAAATCTTCTAATCGCTTTTGTTAAAAGTTTCTTCTGTCGATCTTTGGAGCATAGCATCAAAATGCTTAGCTAATTATACTTAACCTCTGAATTTTCTCACTTCTACTTCTATTATATATATGCTAAATCACCATGACCCTTTTCGAGATTCTGAATATGTTTTGAAGAGAGAGTGGTCCAAATCTTATGGATATGTTATTCAGACTCTTCCAAACCATGTTTGGCATATTTCTAGATTATCTAATCTTTGAACCCAAAAATAGACTATGTCCCAAAATATCTGATAAGTGAGTCGAACTTAGCTCTTCAAACGAAGTCATCAAAATATTGAAACCATAATTAGGTTATTTTATACTATCTTGGTTCTGCTCTGCACAATATCTTGGTTATGTTTTGCATAAATTTTGGATGGTTCAGGAGATGAATCTCCGGACACACCTTTTAATTATTAAAAAAACAACACAGAGGATTATTCGAATATGCATCTCCGGATTGACCCTTATTGTTTTAGAAAAAAATAGTGAATTCGGAATATCTCTGAAGTTTATTCGGATTATATATAGGGTGTGTAAGGTCATTATTAATCTACAATTTTATAAACAGTGTCTCTCATTCCTTTTTCTATACAAAAACAAGCATATTTGTCTCCGCCTTAGATTTGTGTATTTCAATAGCGCAAATCTCTTACTTCAATTTAGGATCTTTTAGGACATATGTCTCATCGATATGAAATTCAAACTTAATACTCTCTTGCAATATTCAAAAAATCAAAAAGTTGTCAAGTTCGAATGTCGTTCACCCTCAATTGACAACGAAGGGAAAATACAGTTCACCATACTTAAACTAAAGACCCTTGATGATTTAAAGATTATGTGGAGTACCTTTTACCGTTACTCGACAAACGGTCTGATTGAAGTGGATGTGACAATTCAAAGATCATCCAAAAAATATTATAAGGATGATATGTAATATTTAATTTGATGTTAAATTATATTGATTTCTCATTCTACCATTATTATTTCTTGTTTCAACCTATTCCTGTTAGTCATGTTAAATTATGTTAATTTTTCATTTCACCATTATTATTTCTTGTTTCTACCTATTCCTGGTATTAAAAACATATTTCATATATGCATCTCTGAAAACTCACAGACTAATGAACCAAAGAAGGTTGTAAAAAATTGCAAAGATACATCTCCAAATCAACTTTTGTGCATATAGAAATGTATCTTTAAATCAAATTTTAACAAAATAAATTTTTCTTGGCAATTTTGTCTTAGTAATGGAAAAAATGTTCTTCTGAAGATACATCTTCGAACTATGAGATTGAGTCTTTTCCCGACAGTGGGAGAGAACACATAAGAATGAAAAGGGTAACCCCTCCAAGGTATTCATTGTTCTTTTTTCGGTTTGTTTGGACAGATCATTTGGGCCTCTTGTATGTCTCCCTAAAAAAATATTCATATTAATAATCACCATACTGGATAGATCATTTGGAGGTCAATTGTCAAGGATCAGAGAAAAAGGCGTGAATAGAAGCCAAGGTTGGCAAACACGGGGAAAAAAGTCTGGTTTATTTATTCCACTTAAAAGTCTTGTTACCTTTTTGTTAAAACCTTAAACAAACGAACCATGGGAAATTAAAGTCTGGAATGAAACAATGTCAAAGTAAAATAAATAACCAAATTGTGAAAAGGAAACAACAAAACACAAATCAATATGCTAGCTAATCCAAGGAATGTTGCTACATCCTACAAAAAGCCAGAAACACAAAACTGTTACGTTCAAAGAACGTATGGATCCCTGTAAACTGACATGCAAAGTCTAAGACTCGTGATTGTCATTAAGAGAGAGAGAAGCCAGTTGATCAGCTGGGTTGTTTGATTGCTGCTGTGCAACATTTCTCAGCACTTCCACGGCCTCAGCAACTTTAGTCTTGAGAGCCTCGGGTGACTCAATCAGATGTAACACCTCAGGCTGGTCCATTTCCAAAAGCATCCCAGTAACCTTTGCAGCTCCACCATGTTCGATCTTTTCTACTAGGGGGTATAAAACTTCACCAAGCATCTATGAATATACATTAATAAAGAGAGAGTCAATATGAGAACTTCCTAATGCACATGAAGCAATTTAGCAAGTAATCGAGAGTCTTACAGTCCTCTGCTGTTCAGGAGGAGCATTTGCAAGGGCTGTAGCCAGAGCCTGTATGGGCGTTCCTCCAGTTACTCCTGGCAGCGGAATACCTTGCAGGTTGCGACCAGGAGGGGGGTATCGGTAGACACGTCCCCTTGGAAGCATCTGAAAAGAACCAACAAAAAGCATCTCAACAACAGGCATAAAGAGCAAAATCAGGAGAAATAAAACAAAATCCAAGATGCTGTTCATGAGCAGACCTGTTGCTGCATCATTGGCAATGACTGCGGGAGTTGATGCATAGGACCTGCACCTCGCCGTCCGCCAGGACGCTGACCTTGTTGACCCTGCTGACCCATGGGCACAAAGAAGTTTGGCATTGGAGCACCACCTGGTCTCATTCCAGGAACCATTTGCTGCGGGTAACCAAATCCAGCCTGCACTTATTGTTGCTCAATTTCAAAATATAGATTCACTATAAAAGGGTAAATTGTGTAAAAATGTTCATTTATCATTGCCACAGACAGATGCAGGAGAAAGAGAATATAGCAGGACTTATTGCACCTATTTCTGAAATCACAACTTAAAAATGTAAAGAGTTGGTCAGCTAATGCAGAATTTGACGGCCAAATTTCATCCTCAAAAAACATTGAGATTTTCTAATAACATGATATCATGCTGTATAAAAATTAACAAACAAGATTATTAACTTCTATGTAATTACCTGAGATATGAAGGCTGGAGGAGCTTGGCCATACATGATTTGTTGTCCCATCCCTGGAACTCCCCCAGGGTAAAATGGCATCCGCGGCGCAATAGGAGCCATTGCAACCGGCCTCACTTGCGAAAATTGTGCCTGTAGGAAATATGTAAAAAATGTATACAAGAAATAAATGGAAATACGCAAATATGTTAAATGAATACCTTAGGTGATCTCTTTAAGAGTGGTTTCTATTTTCTAATATCGAGGAAAAGAGATGAAAGAATACGAGTAATAGTATATATTTTAATCGAGACAAATCATCACTAACCCCTATTTATACTAATATTAGACTCCTATTTCTATTTTTTAATCAAGGGAGAATAAAAATATTTTAAAAATGTATCAACAAAATTATGAGATATTTTATAGATATTCTAACATGAATGAAATACATGGTAAATTATTAGATTACAATTCATAGTCTCTCATTTTGTCTTTAACATCTCTACCTAAAACCCTAATATTTTCAGTAATTAGCAACTGACAATATATGTAATTGTTTTAGATTAATGACTAAATCTTTCTCCTAATTCTAATCGAAACTTGTCCATTATCCTGCTTTCCTTCCTCAAGATAATCTGATAATCTTACCATCTCTTTAGTGATCACTCTCTTTTAGTCTTTCCATTTTGTCAAATTTGATGGAGTTGTGATTATTCCCCAATCAAATAATTCCCCAAACTCCAATTTGTGTTTGCAACATGAGTAGTTATAAGTTTTATAACATAAGCAATGTCTACTTTGGGATTTGTGAATTACTTTTTAATAATTCTTATAGTTTGAAATACCAATGTATAAAAAAAATAAACAGTAACTGTTACATGCATCTGTGAGTGAATCAAAGTCATATCTATGCTCGTCCTTTAATGAAAATGTCATACATCTATATTCTGTTTCATGTCATACTGTACACTACATATTTGCAACTCAAAAGAAGGAATAGTTTTATACCAAAGTGGTGAACAATTAAAGCAACATAATTGCATAGAAATATATGTGATGAATGAAAGACATGATAAGACACTTCAATGATTTGGAAGCAACATAATTGCATAAAGAGATATCCGACGAGTGATGGATGATAAAACAAATATTTGAGGGGGTCACTAATGCACAGGTCGGACCGCAAAGACTTCCCTAAAACCAAGGTCTAAACCAAGAATCAACTTTAACATTTATCTTCTTATTGGTTCTAGATGTGTTTCCACAACACTTCTAAGAACTAGTGTCAAGTTACATGCTCTTTGTAAGTGATAAAAGCCAGCTAGTTTATACTATTAAAAAAGTGGTTTATATAATACGCACTGTAACATTATTTAGAACTTATACAAAACCTATATCACCTTACGAGAAAAACACAAGAACAGAATTTCTTTTTTGAAAACTTTGCTTTATAAAAAGATATACAAAACTAGCATTCCTCCATAACCATCAAAACAAAACTACAAGTCCGTGTGTATTGTTCCCCACTCACTAAATGACAAGTGGACAGTTTGCTAAGTCAAATCAGGCACTGCGTGTCCATTCCGCTGTGCTTAAAAGAATCTCAGAGATCTGAGCATGACCTATACTGCTTATAGTGTGATTTTTTATTAAAGTCGATGAAGAACATGGAAGTACACAAACTAATTACCATCCATTGTTAGTGAATAATCATTAACAATGGAAGCAATGCAGGAATCTCTGTTTCTAAAGATCACCACCCTGTAATTGTAAAGCAATAGAATAACTGGTAAATCATTGATGCGCAATATTTACCTGTAACCTTGCTTTTCTCTCTTCCTTTTTCTGTGCAGGAGCAACATAGAGAGGTTTGCCCGCAGCCATTTTTCCATTCATCTCAGCAAGCTACAAGTACCAATAGATTTGTATATGATCAATGAACTTCACTGTCAATTATTAAATAATAGTCACCAGAATCTTTACACTTACAGCTCGAGTTGCTTCCTCGGGAGTTGAAAAAGCAACAAATCCAGATCCCCTGCTGATTCCCTGTGGATCTCGCAGAATCTGTAGATCACAAAAAGAAACATGTTTTAAAAAGATGAAGGTTTGACAATTGCACATATGAACAGAAAGAGGAACCTTATTCACACACCTTGCATGAAGTTACAGTACCAAACTCGGAGAAAAGTTCGCTAAGTTTTTCATCGCTGACACTATCATCCAAGTTTTTGAGATACAAGTTGGCACCATAATATTTGTCAACAGTTTCCTTTATGCTCTGCTCATGTCTTTCTTTCAGTTCAAGCGCCCTTTCATACTTTTTCAGGGCTTTTCCGACATACCACTCCTTGTCATCAAATTTCTTTCCATTAAGTGCCTCCACAGCTTTAGCAGCAGCATCTGCATTTTCAAAATTGACAAAACCAAAACATTTTGATTTACCATCTACATCTCTCATTACTACAGCACTAGTAATAGTTCCATATTCTCCAAAAATGCTCTTCAAGTCATCATCTGCAATTGCCTCTGATAGATTTTTCACATAGACATTATTAAATTTTGCAGTACTCAAGGTGTTATCTCTATCCTGCTTCCGTTGGAAATGACCAACATAGACAGGCTTATCATTGATCAGCATGCCGTTTAACTTATCAATTGCACTTTGTGCAGATTCTTCATTCTCAAATTGCACAAAACCATAGCCTTTAGACAGGCCAGAAGCATCCATTGCTATCTTGCAAGAGAGAATACTTCCAAAAACCGAAAAAGTATCATATAAACCCTTGTGATCGATTGCCTTATCCAAATTCTGCACCACAAAAAACCACAAGATTCAATGAGAGAATTATCAAACAAACACCTTGATGAATAAAACTTCAAAAAAAATAAAACTTTATATATTTAAACAACTCAAAATAAAAATAACCACGGACACTACCTTGATGAAAATATTGGCAGCACCACTCTTGCGAACACTAGGGTCCCGATGAGAATACATTATCCGAATCGGTTTGTTGTTCAGTGGAGTGAAATTCAGCACATCCATAGCCTTTGCAGCTGCGGGACAGTTACATTCGTAAATCAACATCAATATAACTATCTACACAAGACCAAATGTGGCTAAACATAACAATGCATTTTATTTTATTTTTGATGAAATGACAAAAATAAGTATCCATAGAATCTATTGTATCAGTTATTGATATATATTATTAACATAAACCTAACAATGCATTAGAATTTCATGATTCAGAAAGGAAGAAGAAAATAAAACTAACCATCATGAGGGTTACTGAAATTGACATAACCGTAACCTAGGGATTGCTGAGAAGTCAAATCCCTACAGATCCGAACAGAAACAACTTGACCGATCTGATTGAAAAGATCGTAAAGCTGCGAATCATTGACGTCATGATCGAGATCTCCGACGTACAACGACGTCGTAGTGAGATGATTCGGAACCTGAGCAGCAGCGTCATTGTTGGAATTCTCGTGAACTTGCGCCATCGGTGGTTAGTTTTTCTGGAAGATTGAATAAACGTTACCAAAACGAAACCCTAAGTATCGATAGAGAATCGTTCTCCGGGGAAAGATGATTTAAATACTTTTTTGGTTTTTCTGGTTTTTGATAAAAACCACCGCCGAGCCGCGAACAATGCAGTGGCGGAAGTGCGGAGAACAGTGGTGCAAATAGGAGAATGAAATGAAAAGGAAAAGTGGTGTTTAATGTTTTTGGTGGCAGCGCAGTTGGATCTGCACAGGGTTGGGTATTTCGGAAGGTGAGGGTTATATAGTGCGACTATTAAGCCAAAATTGTTTTATGAGATGGTCTATGTTTGGTATTGTCAAAATACACTAAGGAAAAAAGAAAACAAACAAAATAACAAACCAAAACAAACAAACAAAAAAACAAACCAAAAAAAACAAACCAAAAAACAAACCCAAAAAAACAAACAAAATAACATAGTAAAAAAAAAAGTGTGTACGATTAAAATAAATTTGTTTGAAATAAAAAATATATATATGTTTTCACTATGGGCCTATTTTTTTAAAAACACAAACAAATAATTTTTTTAATGACAAAATAGAACACAATTTATAATTAAAAATTCTCAAAAAATTAATAATAATAAACCACTTATAATTAAAAAATTCTCGAAAAAACTAATAAAAACAAATAAAATTTTAAGACCAAAATTAATAATAACAAACCACTTATAATTAAAATTCTCCAAAAAAACATAAGATTAATAATAATCTTATGGTTGCCTAAAATCGAGCTAGTTAGTTACTACTTCATAAAATATGTTGTTAAAGAATTTTAGTACTCTTCCAAAATAAGATGGAAGAAGAAAAGTAAGAGAGTAATAAAAGATGAATAGTTAGAAAGACATGTTAAAAACCCTGTCACAACTCTCTTCATAGGCAAACTTAAGCTCAATGTATATTCCTTATAACTTATTTTTATTTGTGGTACATTTGTCCGTATTAGCATTAAGTCATAATAAAAGTAACTTAATTATAAATCAACTCACAATTGAATATTTTGTTTGACATTTGAGAAACATAACCTAAGAGTATTAGGAGTAAACTAAATGGATAAACTAAGATATTTTTTGTGGACCCAAAGTGTTTTATAGAATTTAAAAAATTTATAGTTGATTTTATTAGTAATAATTCATATTTTATTATATTATTTTCTTAAGCCCATAAGTTTGTTAGAGGGCATTTCAGTATTTTATCTTATTCTAGTAACCCTAGTTTTAGCCTATAAATAGGGTGACAATCATTGTAACTCTTAATACTGTTTCTTCTGCCGTCATTCTCTTTAATAGAATATTTCCCTATTTTCATCATTCTATCTTTGCACCAACAATTGGTATCTAGAGCTCCGGTTCAGACTCATTGGGAAACACGGGAAACACGAGTGAACGTGAGGTCTTGTGTGTTTGATTTTGATTCTTAGATTCGTGTTGAATCTTGAACAAAATCTGATCAGAATTTTATTCTGTGGGTTGGGAAACACTGTGTGAGAAAATCTGAGTGTATTGTGCAAGGTAGAAGATGAACGGAAACGGCAACATGAACACCAAACTTCCAGTATTTGATGGTAAAAACTGGAATCGTTGGATGATCCAAATGCGTGTACTATTTGGTGCTCAAGATGTTCTAGATCTTGTCACTGATGGTTATGTTCCAGTAGCAGCAGATGCAACCGATGAACAGAAAAACGCGCAGAAGGAAGTAAGGAAGAAGGATCAGAAAGCATTGTTCTTCATTCATCAATGTGTGGATGTAAACGTGTTTGAGAAGATTGCAGACTCTACAACAGCAAAGGCTGCATGGGACACTCTGGTGAGATGTTATGGTGGTGACGCATCAATGAAGAAGGTGAAGCTTCAGTCCTTGAGAAAGCAATATGAGAATCTCAACATGAAGAATAATGAGAAAGTTTCTGAATACATCTCCAGAGTGATTCTGATCACTAATGAGATGAAGGCATGTGGAGAAACTCTTTCTGAAGAAACAATCATGGAGAAAGTATTGAGATCCCTTACTCCTCAATTTGATTACATTGTGGTAGCAATAGAACATTCCAAAGATCTGAGCACAATGAGAATTGAAGAGCTGCAGAGCAGTTTAGAAGCGCAAGAGTTGCGTTTGACTGAGAGAATTTCTGAAAGGGAAGTAGAGCAGCAGGCTCTGAAAGCAATTTCTGATAGGAGGTATCAGAAGCAGTCAGAAGCCAAGAGAAGATCTGATGGTGGTCAGAAGTCAGAAACCTCAACCTCTGATAGACAAAAGAATGCTCAGAAGGGAAAAGAGAAGTATGACAAGAAGAAGATCCAATGTTACTGTTGTAAGAAGTTTGGTCACTTTGCTAGAGATTGTTGGTCAAACAAGGAGAAGAAATCAGAAGAAGCAAATATAGCCAGAAGTTCTGATGACGAATCTGTGCTATTGATGGCCTCTGAATCTGATGATCTGACAGATTGGTGGTATATGGACACTGGCTGTTCAAATCATCTTACTGGAAACAAGAAATGGTTGGTTGACTTTGACTCTGAAAAGAGAACAAAGATCAGATGTGCTGATGACAAATATCTTAATGCAGAAGGTATGGGAAATGTCAGAGTGACTCTGAACAATGGGAAAATAGCATTGATTCAGAATGTGTGGTATGTACCTGGCATTAGAAGCAATCTGATGAGTGTGGGACAATTAATTGAGAAAGGTTTCTCAGTTACCATGAAGGACAATCTTCTGAAGCTGTACGACTGTAATCAGAAGTTGATTATGGAGTTAGAACAGGGAAGGAATAGAACATTCAAGGTGAATGTCAGAACTGCAGACTCAGAGTGTCTTAGTGCAACAAGTACTGAGAAGGAGAGTGAGCTGTGGCACAGAAGATTTGGTCATTTGAATTTCAGAAGCTTACAACATCTGAATTCAAATAAATTGGTACATGGAATTCCTGCAATTAAGAAGCCTGAAAAGTCATGCAAAGTTTGCATGGAAGGAAAACAACCAAGATTGCCATTTGCATCAGAAGTTGCTCCAAGAGCAAAACATGCCTTGGGAGTTGTACACTCTGATGTGTGTGGTCCATTTCCAGTAGCATCAATTGGAGGGAATAAATACTTTGTGTTGTTTGTTGATGAATTCACAAGAATGACATGGGTATCCCTTATTAAGTTCAAACACGAGGTGTTTGATGAATTCAAGAAGTTCAGAATGAAGGCTGAGAATCAGAGTGGTCAGAAGTTGAAGATTCTTAGAACTGATGGTGGAGGTGAGTATAACTCCAAAGAGTTCCAGAAGTTCTGTGAGGAGAATGGAATTGAGCATGAGGTTACTGCTCCTTATACCCCTCAACACAATGGTCTTGCTGAAAGAAGAAACCGTACTTTGCTTGATATGGTGAGAAGCATGCTAAAGGAGAAGAAACTTCCTCAGAAGCTCTGGGGAGAAGCTGTTGCCACTGCAACGTATGTACTCAACAGATGTCCTACGAAGAAGTTGAAGGAAATAGTTCCTATGCAGAAGTGGACTGGAGACAAGCAAAGTGTTAGTCATCTGAAGGTATTTGGTTCTGTTTGCTATAAACATGTTCCAGAAGCCAGAAGACAGAAGCTGGATGATAGAAGCAAAGTGATGATTCTGATAGGGTACCACAGTACAGGTGCATACAAGCTCTATTGTCCAGAAACCAATAAAATTGAATTCAGCAGAGATGTGATTGTGAAGGAATCAGAAGTTTGGAATTGGGATAAGTCTCAATCTGATTCTGATGTTAGAACCTCTGAAGAAAGGCCAGAGTTAAGAATTTCTGAAGTTGAAGTAAACCCTGATATTGACTCTGACTCTGATACTGATTCAAACTCTGAAGATGACTCAGAAGATGAAGGTGACTCTGATGGCAATCCAGATCTTGGTGGCAATTCAGACTCTGGAAATATGCCAGACTCTGAAGATGGTCAAAGCTCTGGAGGTCAATCATTTGAAGCTAGAAACTCTGAAGCTCAAGACTCTGAACAAGTTCAGAGACCACAAAGAATCAGAAGCGTTCCCAGAAGATTTGCAGAATTTGACATGCTGCAAGACACTGAAGTAGACTCTGAAGGAGAAGTTATTCAGTGTGCCATGTTAGTAGACTCTGAACCTATAAGTACAGAGGAGGCTCTTAAGCAGAAGCTCTGGCTGAAGGCCATGAAAGAAGAACTTGATGCTATAGAGAGAAACAAGACTTGGAAGCTGACAGAACTTCCAAAAGACAAGAAAGCCATCAGCGTCAGATGGGTTTTCAAGCAGAAGTTAAAGCCAGATGGCTCAATTGGCAAACATAAAGCAAGGTTGGTAGCCAGAGGATTTCTACAGAAACCTGGGCTGGATTATTCTGAAGTGTTTGCACCTGTAGCAAGACATGAAACAATCAGAATGGTGATTGCAATAGCTGCTAACAGGAATTGGCCTCTGATGCATTTAGATGTAAAATCTGCATTTCTGAATGGTCCATTAGAAGAAGAAGTTTACGTGTCACAACCTCCTGGATTTGTGAAAAAGAATCAGGAAGGGATGGTGTACAGATTATACAAAGCTCTATATGGATTGAAACAAGCGCCCAGAGCTTGGAATCAGAAGATTGATTCATTTTTCAAGAAGCAAGGCTTTCAGAAATGTGAGATGGAGTACGGTGTCTATGTTCAGCATACTTCTGAAGGCAATATGACTCTGGTATGTTTATATGTTGATGATATACTATTGACTGGAAGTTCTGAACAGGAGATAGCCAAGTTCAAGAAGGTTCTAATGAATGAATTTGAAATGACTGATCTAGGCAAAATGACATACTTTCTAGGGATGGAGTTCAGATATTCTGAGAAAGGTATCATTTTGCATCAACTCAAGTATGAATTAGAACTTCTGAAGAGATTTGATCTGAAGAATTGTAAGATGGCTGCCACACCTTCTGATACAAATCAGAAACTGGATTCAGATTCTGAAGG